TACTACAATTCCTAAACACTGCAATGCAGTAACTCACCTTTTCTATCTTAGTGCAAAAGCTCAACAACAAAATGCACTATTACACTATCAAACTAAAATAAATATCCTAATGTTAATGTTTAGATGCAAAAACTATTATAGAAAGCATTAAAATCTGATTATACTGTAAGTGAATATGAAGCCAAATGAATCTGTGGGGTGAGAGCACCATCTAATGGTACAATGCATTTCCTTTTCCACACTTCATACCTGTATAACACTTTCCTTACGTTATGTTAATTATAATATATATATACAGTATATATATATATAATTAAAACAGCTTTGCGAATATGTGCTGTATTTTGAATTTATTTTTTCACATTTTATTACAAGTAAATTAAGTTCAACAAGGAGAGGAGCTCACACACATAATAGTAGAAGATTTCTTACAAACAATACTTTATTTAGAGGCCAAATGCAATGACAAAATGTTTGTGTATTATGTGTGTGAGTTCCTTGCCTTGTGAACTTTGATTTGTTTATTGAGCTTAAGCAAAGCCATTTTTTCAGTATTTGACACAGACCTTCTACAGCATTTTGGCAGTTTTTAAGTTAATTAAATAACACATAAATTCAATCTGATGGGATCATTTCCCCTCACCTCAATACATGTTACAAACTGTGTTTTAGACTAAATTAAATGCAATAAATCAGCTAATAGTTACAACTAAAATATGATGAATTAGGTTGAGAATATAACAGGAGGTTGACAATATCTGGCCAAATGTGCAGAATTCGGCTGTTTGGTAAACATGCATTTTATTTTACCCATTTTTTTATTTTTTTATTTTTATCGTAAGAGGGTAGTATGGAAACTTGTTTCTGCCACAGAATAAAAATATATAAAAAAGTTAAGTGTGGCTTTCTAACTCACAGTTCTGACATGTTTCCTTTCAATTGAGAGTTTATATATCACAATTTGGCTTTCATAAAATGACAATTGTTTGTTTAGAATTTGAAATTCTGAGTTTATAACTGAACTTAGGAGGAAAAAAAAACATCAAGAATTGTGTTATTACTTGTAATTCTGAGTTTATTTCTCGCAGTTCAGTTTATAGCTTGCAATTCTTACATTTTTTTTCTCAGAATTAAGATATAAACTTGCAATATAAAGAGGTAACTGCAAATTTTTAATCTTCCAATTCTGACTTTTCTCACCATTACGAGTTTATATCTTACAATCTAAGTTTTTTCTTGCTATTTAGACTTTATAACCCACAATTGCAAGTTTATATCTCACAATTCCAACTTTATTTCCTGCACTTTGAAGTTTATAACTCATACGTAATTCTGCCTTTTTTTGTTGTTTTTTTGCAGAATTGTGAGATAAAACCCCTTTTTTCCGTGGTAGAAACAAGCTTCTATAGGGCAGGTCCATTGTCTAAATCTTCTGGTCTAACTCACCTATATCTAGGGCTTCCTCTCTGTCTGTGTCATCGTCTGCTGGCTGCCGGATGTTCCAGGATGTGAGGGGCAGCGTGTTCATGTCCTCCATGTCTTGAAGTCGTAACATGTCCATATGACTGCTCTTGGTGAAGTATCTGGGAATGAAGCACACTTTTCCCCTCTTGAAGATGTCCTTGATGATGTCTTCTGTGCGCACCTCATCATGCATGTTCAGGAAGACAGCGACACGCTGGCTGGACAGGTATTTGGGATGTCTGAACAACTAGACATGAGTTTGGATAGTAGTTAATAAACACAAACCATATTTACAATAATTATTTATTTATAACATGCTCAACATAAATGTTTTACTGCTATGATTACAGTAACATAGGCCTTGTTTTGCTTTATATATATATATATATATATATATATATGTTATGTTATGTTAAAAAATGCCTCAATAAGGAGAGTAGTTTCATAAATCTGATTAGGTTCATGAGAGTGTCTAACACACACACATGGTCAGAATTATTAGCACACTTGGTAAATATGAAAATAAATTTTTATTGTTAATCCCTTTTGACTTTTTTTTCAAAACAACAAAAATCACAAAAACACTAATATTATTTAAGAAAAATAATTCAAAATGTGGGGAAAACCTCTTAACCTCTTTTACCTCTTTCTAAGTGGCTAAAAGAAACTTACCTGAATTTATTTATTTTATTATTATTACTTATTCAAATTGTATTTTAAATGCATTTACTTTTTGTTTTTCTCAAAACATTTCCACCAACACCCCCAGCACTTCCTTGTGCCCCTGGAGTCTATAATAAAAAGTGAATGTATCTGCGCATTTGCTTTGCTCTAAAATTTGCAACAAAATAACATTTGTATCATATGGTGTATATTCCGTATATTCCAAGACTCCTGAAAGCTCGTGTCGCTCAGCTGACGCATCGATAACATTTACCTTTTGTGAGACAACTCGAGACTGCCTGAGTTTCTCCTGATCACTCACTGCAGCCACTCGACTCTTGATTTCTCTTCTTAAAGCTTGTTTTGCTGCACGCAAAGCTGCCATAATGAATCTGCACAGCTCAAATCCACTCAGACTGCAAACAGACAGATTAAAATACAGATCGTTGTAATCATTGCAGCAACTCAGTTAATTAATAACTCGTGAGAATGTGATAACATCAGTGAAGTCTGCACATGTTCGTGTGATCTATTAATGCGGGATAGATTAGTCGTCCTGAAATGGCGTGGCCAGTGTAAAAATGGATTAGCCATCCTGAGTGGGCGGAGTCAGTTTACAGCTCATGCCTTTCGAGGAAAGATAAACATTCAAGGGAAAAGCCTTTAAAGGGACAATTTACCCTCACATTAAAAGTCTTTTGAAAACCCACCCTGTTGTTATAAACTCGATTTACTTTCATTTATTCCGTGGGAAACACAATAGGATTTTTGCCAGACTTTTAAGGGCCGACACTCTGAGTTGCCCTTCTCTTTTATTTCGTCTTTTTTGGCATACAATGAAAGTGAATGAGCACAGACCATTTGCCTAACCTTTGGTGGCCTATGGTATTTATTTATCCTTTATTTTACTAGGAAGATCCCACTGGGATAAAGGTCAGGGTGACTGTACCAAAGTTTCACATAAACACACAACACAAAATACACATTAAATTAATAAAGTATATGTGTTTGTAACAACAATGAACACACAATGAGAGGATTTTATAATTATTTTATATTGTAACTCAGACTAATGGTATGATTTATATCAATAATACAAAGCAAATTTGAGTGTTATGTTAAATAAGTAATTTCTAATTTTACCTGGTAATATATATTTCTAAACGTAACTTTAAAATAATAAAAATGCAATAACATTCTGGACTAAATGTATAAAAAACAAAAAGAGTCCAACATATGTTTTTATAAAACGAACAGTCCCAACATAGTACATATTCATTTGTTGTCACAAAAAGTGCCTCTATACCTTTAAAAAACATTTTTTAAACATGTGAAACGATGATATGTCACATGGGATAGTCAAGTAGATAGACAAGTTTCCCGGGCACTTCCGGTTTACTTCCTGTTTCTGCCAAGAACATCCGGCGCAGGCTGAGTAGTGGTGTAAACACGGCTTTGGAATGGCAACATTCGACCGAAAATCTTGTTTAAAAATGGTGTTTTGACCATTCCGAATCCGAGTAAGGTAACATTATGGGCGGACAACATGTCGATATGGCCCAGCATCACAACATCTAAGATCTTTTCTTATTTTATTGATTCCATGGCGGTGGACGGGAATGCATTTAATAACCTGAACGGCTCAGAGGCGTTTCAGTACCTCCATTCCGTCAAAGTGGGCTGTGTACTTTTACACTTGGACAGTTTAATTTACCTAAAGGCCGATGTTCAATCAAGCCAGTCCGTTAACAATTCAGCGCCTAACGCCTGGGTTTTGGTTACCAAGACGGGAGATGTGTACCTGTATCGCCGATTCGCCGGATCTGGACGTTCCTGTACCCATGCAGCCGTTGTGCTTTGGAAGGTACGTTAGCCCATTATATGCTTGTATTAAGATGTTTGTATGTATCAGTGTGTTTATCTATAACAGAACACGAAGAGTAAAAAGTTATCCTCTAGCCTGCCTGCACGAAAAGCATGCTTTAACCCTTAAGTCGACTGACGCAGATCGCGCACCCCTTACATATCTATTAATAGCTTCAGAATGCATAAAGGTATTAACTTACTTTTTTTCTATGAAAAAGCTGACATTCATATGCGTAATAATGAGTAGACTGTGTTGACTTCCGCGAATGATATTTGATTGCAAATTTATAGCATTTTACCGCAAAACAGAGAAATGTTACTTCAGCCTATGTAATGATATATAATGCGGTTGGTGTGTGAACCAATCACAAACCAAAATAAAACAAACACTAGGAACGATTCTTTTAAACAGACCAACAAAAAAAAAAAAAGAAAACTGTGTAATCCGCCTATGAAATGGGCAAATTTGCAACAAACCCTTTCTGGCTTTTGTTTATTTATTTATTTTTATCAAACTGATTTATTTTATTATCTATATTATTTGCTTTTACTCATTTTTATATTACTCACTTATCACTTTATTAAATGTTATCTATTTATTTAATATTTAATTGTATTAAACATACAATTGATGTTAAACATTTGTAAAACATTGATGTTGATGGCTGCAGGCCCAGATCATTAATTGATTTGAAAAGTAGCCTAACAAAAACGCTCTACCTTCATCATACCCTTGTTATTTTGATTTACAAAATGTTGTTTCTAAAAGAAGTCAATTGTGCTGTGATGCTCAACCCATTATTTTAAAAACCATTAACCATTATTTGAAAACCATTTTATTTTATCTGTCTGCAGGTAGAAAATGCTGTCAAGGGAAGACTGATGTGCAGAATTGCTGAATGCCGGGACAAAAAGCAATACTGGGCAGCAAAAAAATCAGAGATGTGTCTATCCGAAGACACAGCAGAAATAATCTACTCAAATTGTCCATTTGTTATGGAAAAGGATTAATAAAAATTAATTTATTTCTTCTCAAAAAACAAATTGTTTATTGTCATGTGTCAATATTTACAATGCAAGAAAAAGAATAGCACTCACACACGTTTTTCTTAGTTAAAACTCTGTTTTGGCTTATCAATAATCATAACACCAGAAAGGGTACAATAACAATACATTTAAAGTGAGCAATCACCTTACTTGCTACACCTTTAGACACTTTAAAGTGCTTTGCCACATCCCCTACAAGGTTCAGTTTCACTATGGGAACAGGAATACTTGTTGCGAAAACGAATGGCAACATCGTTTTCACTAAAGTAAAAAATATTATAGACGCAGTCCTGTGTACAGCCGTGAGGCATCATCATCCAGGAGCATATCAGCCACAGTCTGACCCAGAGCCTGCGTCGATTTGTTCATATGGTCCAACTTTGCCGCATAGCTGTGGTCAGTTTTTGTTAGGTCCTCCCATTGTGTTGCAGCATCTTTAAACTTCGGCTCGATGCACACTTCTAAAAGACAAACAGCATAAACTATAAATGTCACGTATATACCCCACTGACACAGGACAGAGACACATATCAACAGTCGAACTTATGCTGCAAACTTTTGCTAACCATAAAATATCAAGATACACTTACCATCCGATTGCGTGTCACTTGTGTTTCTGTTCTGTTTTGCTGGGAGGTTTGCTCGTATATCCCAACTAAAGAACCAATGAAGTGATAAGAACAAACAAACAGTCTTTTGAGCGGATTCTTCACCTTCAAAGCCGCTAGCCACTTCCGAGATAATGATTAAACATTTGTTTTTGGTTTCTCATACAACGTATACGGGGGAGCACATCCACATTGGCGTCTTGTATGGTTGATTCATTCTCCTTCCGACCAAACATTCAGCAATCGCCACGAGTTGTTACAACCACGAACAGCACAATATGTCCCAAAGCCGTGTCGACGTGTAACACCATCCATAGTTTACTTTTTCTGCACGCTAACCAAAAAAAACAAGACGCTAACTCGCTAAGCGGAAGTGCTTGGCAGATACAACCGGAAGTCGTTGGCAGAGTGAGGGGCTAATGGCGGCCCGCCTATTTCACTCAGGAAACTTGTCTATAGACGAATCCGGCGAAACTACCGGAAGTAAGCGGGCGCCATTACTGAGCTGTTGCTGGGTAGCGTTGCCCCATTGCCTTCTATTGTTTTAGTTGCAACTTGCGTCCACTGGAATAAACAGCTCGAGATTTACGACTGACACTAACGTTACAACGTTAGCCCTTGTATAATGTCGAGTGGGTAAACAGTTTCTGTTATAAATTGTTTCAATGGTGGCAGTAAAATTTCAATTTTGAAGAGAAAACATTGTGAATACCCCGGGTCCACTGCCCCTGTCTGGTGCCGTACGGTAAACACAGATTTCCTGGGCGAGTACAAGACGCGGACATTCGCGTATAATAACAATTATTTAATGACATAAGTAAAAAAATATAATAAATGTGTGATATAGTGATCAGCAAAATCTCCTCTCTTGTTATTTTTTCTATTCAATTTACATGCTATGGTCATTAAATGGCTTTCCTGAGCTGAATGTAACGTTATGTGACATAATTGTTCTCCTGCTGTTATATTGACCTCTTTCCATGGTTTAAAAACAGTAGTTGGTCGATATTGTGTATACTTTCTAGCTGTAACGTTACCTTACCCATGCCTGTTGCAATGTAAAAATTAGATAAATAATGGACACAAATGAAAAACATGAATTTGTTTATTTCATTTCATTTATTTATTTATTGTTGCCAAATGGACAGATCTTTTTTTTAGTTTCCTCGGTAGCAAACGTTAGCCTAGCTTGCTTGCCAAGCTATTTTCATAAATAATCTGTAAGATCGTTTGTACCTTCATCTGTGACTGGAGGCCAATGTCTAACATCATCAACCCAACAAGTCTGCCTGGCTGTAGCTGTCATCAAGGGTGCGTTATCACCTTATCTTCGAGGTTTGTTTACATCCCGGTGCATATGTCTATGCCGGTGTAACAGCTCAGTAATGGCGTCGCCACAAGATGGCAGCCTACACAAGAACGCTCGTCGGATTCGTCTATACTGAAAACTATAAAGTCCCATCATGACGTCACCGAGTAGGTTAAAGTGGGGGCTGGAGTGTCAAAACTAACAAACAGGCTGTTTCTCGGTGGGGGAAGGGAAGCTGGTGAACGCCGAAAACACTTCGCAAACATTTTAATAGTGCAAGACAATAAACCAAACTCGTTTAACCCAGCGACATTGATATAGTAACCGCCGGGAGTCGGGAGGTGAGTGTAAATGCGAATGTTAATCAGTTGAATTAGTGAAACAGCTGCGGCGTTTTGTGAGCTGTTTAGCCAACTTGACAAGAGCAAACCTGTTGTTGTATAAAATGGTCGCGTGGTGAAAGCTACTTCATAATTGCCTAACTTATTTATTCGTAAGGGAGCACATTTAGTCGTTAGTTTAGAAAAGCTTTGTCACTGACAAGCTAATAGCGAGATCATTAGTTATAAAAGTAAACATTAGTGCAATAAGTAGTACATTGTCCATTTGCTATGTGTACTATACTGCCTTTTAGTTCGCTAGGTCTGTGCAAAAAAAAAAAAAAAAAAAAAAAAATCGCATACAAGAATGTTTTCTACTTGAAATCCAGATGTTAAAACTTCTGTTTGTATCATTAGGGACGTAGCTGGTTATGCATTTTTAACATTTCCCATATACCGGTAGTGAATGATCCCAAAACCGTCCGCGATATCAATCAACATGCACATTTCTTTAACTCTACGCGTAAAATAAAGATAATATCGATGTCTGATTTGTGTCGAATCGTTCTGCAGAGTCGATTCCAATAAATGAACAGTTCACAAAACGGTCTGGACGTTTCATTTACCTTTAAATGAACTGTTCAAATGAACCGATTCGCATGTACGAGTCGGACTTAACATGACTGGACTATCGTGATCACGCGCATAGGTGTGGCTTACAGTACGCAGCCAATAGCGTTTCAGTGGGCGTGTACATTACTCAATGTGTTTTACGATGTCCAGCTTTCATTTAAACAGCTAGCGACAGTAAGCTAACAGCTTACTTAGTAGATAAACAGTCAGAGGTGCTCACTAAACCATTTACCAGGTAAGGAAGTCAAACGTATCGACATATGAGCGAGATATTACGTTGAAATCTGCTTCTTGTGGTGTTGTCATTTATAGTATTATGATGATTTAAACAAAGGACAATGTAAATAGTGGAATAGTTACCGTTGAAACCTGATTAATCCCGTTGCTCAGATCCACTGTTACAAGTTCTTTTTGTAGTCAGTCTAACTGATAGTGAAACATTATCATTGTGATTTAAGAAGACTATAGGCTTTGTCTTAAACAGTGAGTATTTACATGCACTCAATACTGACTGCAAACCTATTACAATGTAGTCACATTTGTTTGAAAAATCCAGTTGTGGACAATGTTTAGACCTGGCTTTATTGCTGTCCATTTGTTATTGGATCACCTGAGATAGATGCCCATTCCAGTTGTAAATGAGATGAGTTTCTGACCTTAGGAAATGAATGTGCTCAACTTCCCTGTTCCCTATGGAAAGTACAAGTAAATAATTTAAAGTGTGCGACAAGTTACACCCCAAAGTTTAATGGTCAGTGTTAGTAGTTTATGATCTTGAACTTGAGTAGTAATAATTATGATGAATTATGATCTGTGATCCTGTTGCATGAACCTGGAGAGAAACTGAGAGTGTCTTTATCTGACTTTTTGATCTAGTGCCAGGGCATGTCGTTTAATAACCTTCTCACAGGGCTACACATGTGAGCACAGTGGCTTACTGTACACTAGCCAGACAGTTTAGGTTTGTCTGCACCTTGTTTTTGATGAGTATGCTTTGAGTCATTTAATTGTTTTGAAGCAACTTCAATTGCTTGGTGGCTTCAGTTTTTAACGTTTAAACAGAATTAAGCTCTTTTTAATGCCTCGTGTCATCACTAGGTCTGACTTAAACCTGTTTTAAAGTTGATTTAAAGCTGCTGTTTGGCTTAAACATTGACTGAACACTTGATATGTTGAAGCATCACTGTGGTGAAGTGTTTGTGTGATGCTAAAGTCAACATGAAAGCAGTAGTGACTGTATTTTCTTTTATATATATATATATATATATATTTATATATATGTTTCTAGTGTTATTTTGCATCTGGAGTTGTTCTTGTGTTAAAGGTGCAATGTGTAAAAATTGAGTATCTAACAGAAATGCAATATGACATCCATAACTATGTGTCCGTTGGTGTATAAAGACCTTACAATGAACCGTTATGTTTTTACTACCTTAGAATGAGACATTCTCACAGAACAGCGACAATGTTTAACACTCTTGGCTTACTCTGGCTATTCTCTGCTGTCTCAGACGACGATGTTTGTCCCGTTTTAGCCACCGTAGCTTCTTCGAAAAGGAGGGGTGAGCAGTGGGCTGTAGGGCTGTATTCAACCAAAGAAATCCAAAGTCGAGTCCTGCGCAATGATTAGTCGACTAAAAAAAAAAAAAAAAAACAATTTTTAAACAATTGTCATTGAGCATTTATAAAACAACAACGAAAAAACATCACAAATAAATAAAACTATAATAATAATACAATTCTTTGAAAATTAAGTGATTTTTTTTAACTGCAAAACGTGAAGAGCTCTGTTCTAAGTCTATAGTAACAGTCACAATCGTGCACCTGACCACACCACACGCTGCAAAAAATATAACTGCTATCTGCCACATAATGAAAAATCCCAACAAAAGCTCTCGTTTATACAGGCTTTATATTCTTCTTTACTTTCAAAGCTATGGGTTAACTTTAGTCCTGACGATCAAGGCGTTTTAAACAACACACAAAAAACCCAAATAACTTAAAAACAATCCTAATAATAGGCTGTATAGGTTTATTTTCGTTTTGTTGCATTATTTAGGCTATTTTCAAATGCGTCAATTGTACAAATAAAAACGAAAATATTAAGAAAACACAATCTATTGAGTCAGCATGATATAGCCGTTAAAAGGTGGCTCACGTCTTTTGCGCGCTCAAGTTCGATTTTAAATGTAGGCACGCGACTTGCGCGCTCATAATGGAGCAACGCGATCGCCTCCCTCCACAGTCTTGTCGTCTTTGTTTTAAAATGCAGCCCGACAAAAGATTTAGATTTCCTGGACATTTTGTCGACTAAAGCCAAAACAAGCAGCGGTCTAACTGAATGAATACAGCATCCCTTACCGAGCGCGAGCAGCAGCGCAGCCAGCCACACGTGCGGTTCCCGAGTGTATGTGTGTGCGCTAAACTGTGGCGCAGTTACAAAAATAGCCTAAATTAAAGCATTTTAAAGTTGGGGACAAAACATAGGTTAATTATATTTAGAATACAGTAATATATAACTGCTTATAAATGAATAAATATCAAGGAGTAAATCATTGAAAAATTCTTTCTATTGGTTAAAAAAAATAAAAAAAATGCAACTGGTCGACCAATAAGAATGTCAGTCGACCAAGACGGCATCGCCCGATTAGTCGACTAAACGACTAAAGTTGACAGCCCTAGTGGGCTGAGCTCTTAGTGCAACTCGCAACCGAACCGCTAGATGTCGCTAAAAAAAATAGACACTGGACCTTTAAACCAAAAGCATCCATCTAGTGTGATCCGATCTCAAGTGGGCAGGCAGACAGATCAGTGTTTATACCTGGTTTGTTAATTTTATTTAATAATACTTGTATTAAAATCCATATTTAATAAAACATCTATCTGTCTGGATCCAACTGTCTGTCTCTCGCTATATCTGTCTATATGTCTGTCTATATCGATCTTCTCTTGGTCTATCTGTCTGTCTGTCTGTCTGTCTGTCTGTCTCGGTCTGTCTCTCTTGGTCTATCGATCTGTCTCTCTAGGTCTATATGTTTATCTTTATCTATTTATCTATTAATGTCCCCTTTGTCCCAACACAGTGAGGATTTTTCCTGTACAACATGAGTGTGAGACAGCTGTAGAGGTAGTCTTAGAAACAGACCCTTACAGGCAGGTGCAGAGACACAGTTAGAACATGTCAGAGGACAA